GCACCTGCCACAAAATCTGCACATCGACGGGTCCAATTTGCCACGGAAAGTCGAGTTTAGTTTCCCCTTCGCCTGGCGAAAAAAGGTGATCACCAAGCCCGTATATGTGCACGGCAAACAAGAGCGCAGTCTCGAAGAGCCCACCAGCTTCTGCGAGCCGAAGCGCAGTCGAAGTGCACAGCAACATAGCCGGACACAGATGCGAGCAAAGCACCGCTTACTCGTTCAGTGGGGTCGAGGTACTACAGGGGATTACAGGGGTACTCAGTCGGCAAGGAGTCGCCACGGCTGATGGGAGTTTCTCATCACCACCCTTTGCTTTGCACCCGAACAATTTCCATGTGGTCTTAACATGTTTTTGAGGGTCAACCTGTATCAGGTATATATTCTAGTCCCACTGGGTGTGTTTGGGTGTGTGGTCACCACTTAACATCAAGCTACATATTCAGGCCAACACACGTGGTGTTACAAGAAAACCACCCATGGAGCTCTAAAGCCAGGTCAGCGGGAAACGGCCTGAGACCTCAAAGCCAAGTCCCCACAGTTGGGTCGTTCTGCAGGATGCAACAGAGCCGCAGCAGTGGAGCCATCGATGGTCAACGCTCCATGGTCCGGGCGCACGTCCGACCACCGAAGGAGTAGAGCGTCGTTCGTCACAGAGATGGGTAATAGATGTGCATACGAGGCATACCTTGTAGATCCTTATAAGTTCTACAGATGTTTGCAGTAGATGTTTTATCTCATAAGAGATGTCTTGAACATGTAGATCGACACGAGGCATACCTGTATATAGTCTAATTATATAGATGTCTACAAAGTGGTTTCAGGACAGTTGTTTTGATGTTTTGAAAATCTGATGGTTAGCCTGCCTATTGGCATGTGATGTGCCCACAACTACTTACTCCCCAAAAACCAACTGTTTTGGGTCCATGCAAGTATGTTGATTTGTAAGGAATCCCTAAGCCCTAAGCCAGGTCACTTTGAAGTTGGCTGGGAAATGACCAAGCAGGGAAGTTTGGAGAAAGGAGGTCAACGATCTTGCCACATCGGAGGCTTTACGGTGGTTTCTCATCCGTTGGATTCCGGGGAGCAGATGTGAAAAGCATTGAAAACGCATCAAAGCCCTCCCAAGGCTTACACAAAACATCATAAAGCAGCTAGAAAAAAAACTGATGAACACATGGATCCTTGCATGTGTTGTTTTGTTTGATCTTCATCCAACAATGGCCCGCCCCGCTGCCACCTAGCCACAGAACGACCGTCCGGGTGTCAGTGGTACGACTCCCAGACACTCGGGACTGGACGATTGGCTGCCCCAGAAAGACCCGAGTATCCGGCACTATCCCAATGTAGCATATCAAAAATCTGAGTCCCATGGAATTGGTTGTTTTTTTTGGGGCTTCATCCATCTTCATCCCATCAAGTATCTGAGTCTCTGGGATGGGTGTTGGGAAACCAGCTTCGAGAAGCTCGCCATTCTCCTCAGCTTCTCGCTCCGTCCGGAAAGCGCGCCCGAGGCCAGCACGAATGGCTTCCGGAAAGCGCGTCCCTGAGGCAGCTGAAGTCACTGTGCCGAAGGGGGTCCCGGAGCATCCTGAAGTACCCCCGGACCCCGACCTTGGAACTCGGACCCTAGGCCAGGACCCACAGCCAAATGGGACATGTGATCGTATTACAAAACAACAGGAATTTACCAGCAGTCACAAGGGGGTGGTGTTTCGTCCCCAAGTGAGTGGATAATGAGCACCCCTAACCTCCATGGATCGCACCCCTTGTTTGTGACTGCTGGTACTTCATTGTACTTAAGTACCCAATCTTCTCTGAGGTACGAACAGGTCCACTCCAGTCCACTCCAGGTGGATGTCGGGTTTGGGATGTTTGGAGGTCGGATGTGAATTGGTCCAACTCGCGGAACTCGCGGCTCCGTTGGAAACACGAGGGCGGTGCATGGAGCCGCCTCACATTGCATGGCGCCAAGCAAGTCCGAAAACCCATGTATGAACCCCATCAGGAGTCAGTAGTAAAGAACCCATATGAAATTGAAACCATCATCATCATGGTGGTTCTCATTTTGGGTTGCTTTTCATTGGGCCAATCAAAAAGAACAACCCGACTCATGAAAGCATCCGGATGTCGGCGGAAGAAGGTTCTGGGCGGAAGAACCCGACGACTTCTGTGTGAAGTCCTCTTCTACAGCCCCACAGGTCGTCTGTTTTTTTTTGGCGGTTTCTGGGTGATGTGCTATGTTCTCGAACTGGTGAAGTCCCCAAACCTGGTGAAGATGTTCGAAAATAGGTGTTTGTTGTTCCCTGGCTCCACGGCAAATCCAGTCTACTTAGGGTTTGTCCGAATGCAATACCTGTAACAGGACCTGTAAACAATGATCATCATCCTTTTTGGAACAAGGCCTGCAACCCAACTATCATCATCCACTGGGCCCAGGTAATGGGATAGACCCCAAGGCCCCAAGTATACTGTCTACTGAGTCCAAAAAAACCGGCTCCAAACACTCCGCTCATGTGCAATCCCTTTGGCGACCCACCAAATGTGTCAAAACACTCCAAACCTGCGATAGTCCTATAATTTCTTTGTTTGCACGTGCTCTTAGTTATATATTGATATACATGTATATACCAGGGCCCCCGGGCCATGGAGTGGTTAATGGATACCCCTGGATACCTCTAAGGAGTTATATAATTAGACACCCCAAACACCAGGAACCTCTGGTAGTCAATTCATGTTCCCTGAACTCTTTACACACCAAGTCTACGGTGACCCTTCCGCACCCCAGGTCCACGGGAGCGTGGTGATCCGGCGTGTGACGACGGACCCACACCGCGGTCGTCCGGCGTGGTTTCACCGATGTGGGGACTGCGAGGGTGCCATCGAAGGAGACGTGAAATGGGTGGCTTAAGTCCGAAGTGACTTCAGAATATTGCTTTAGACGTGAGATAAAGGTCATTGTATGTTTGAGATTATGCACAAAAATGATGGTGGTATATGGTGGTGGGAAATTGGGATATTCAGGTTAAATCATCGTGTATGTGATACTGTGTTTTGCCTTACTTTTAAGCAGCTAATGATGATATTGATTTGCATGAACAGATGATTAAATTGAACCTTACAGGGTTTATGGAGTCACTCGGCAAACCTTCCAGTCTGGAACCTTTGCAGAAGAAGTATCCGTTGGAGCTACCCCTAGCAACAAGGACGAGGATTTCTCGGATGATGTTTGATCCTAGGATGTTTATGTAAATAATTCATCTGATTTTGGCGGGGTTATTCATGTGCTACATGACTCTACTTTAAAAGTGACTACGATACTTGCGGTAGCTAGCTCACCCTCCAATATATTTTTCTCGATTATGTATGCACATCGCAGTTCCCTGAAAAAGCACGGACATCTGCTCCGAATCCGGAGCCGCCAACCCCTGGCAGCAGGCATTTTGTTCTGAAGGATGATGATACCTGTTGTCTCGTTCATTTGGACATGCACACTGACAGGCTAGGCTAGGCTTACTCCTAACCCAACACCCCAAGGATTGCAAGTCGGTCATTGTCCGCGCCACACTTTTGCGCACGCGCAGTCCCAAAAAAAGGGGCAAATCACAATGTGGTCGCACGTTCAGGTGTGTCTTTTTCTCCCGTTCGGTTGGTTGGAGGAACAACACCCCAGCATCGACATCGACACCATCCTCACCCATCCTCAACTCGTTCTCTTGCAAGACTTTGAAAGAAACAAATCCACTGCCCAAACACGCCACAAAAACCCATTACAGCCGTTCGGAGCCCGAGAGAGCCCTGCCGCCCCTTCGGAGCCCGGCGCGGCTTCGCCTTCCGAACCGAGCTCCGGGGGGGTTCGTCGGTTCGGAGATGTGACCGGATTCACCGGTGGTTTGGGGGTCGTCGAACACATGTGACATGCTGTGACATGTGTTGACCGACTGGTGAGCGCGCTCCCTCGTGGTTTTCACCGCGAGGTGCGGTCGACCGCGACCGGTGCGGTCGACCGCGAGGTGCAAGATGCCAGATGATGCATAGAAGTCACTGATTTGATGGAAGATCACCTCATGTTCCAACCAACTCACATCCTCGTTGAAACACACAAGCAGGAACTACGGCTGGATAGTGTCTATATCATGAAGAATTGGCATCCATCCAGTTCCGCTGCTCTTCCGTTGTCCTTTTCTTTCAGCTTAGCCGACCAGTCCGGACCAACTTCGGGGAGACGATCCGACGACGCGCTCCGTTTGGCACAACGACGTGCCGTTTGGGTGGGCAGGATGGGAACCTGAAGGGACGGTGAGCAGAAGAAGACTATTGTCTATTGTTAAGTTTACTTTCACACAAAGAACCTGGACAGTTCGATACTATGTCGATACTATGTCGATATTGTAAACATTTGACGTGTGAACTTGCAAAAGATTTAGTTTGGGTTGCGGTGTCATCCATTTCTCTGACATCACCGGTGTTTGCTTGCGCGTGCGCATTGTTGAGTTGTCGTTGGCTCAAGGCGAACCGCAGATCTGCCCATTTGGCAAGAACCCGTTGAGAGGGCCAGACTGGCAGCGCCAGCCCGCTTGAAGAAACCGTTTTGAGTACTTGTGAAGGGGTGGGAAAGAATTTGATGGTGTAAAGGTCCACGCATTACTAAATTCGGCCCTGTGAACTCTGAACTGGAACAGCCGTAGGAAGCCTATCATCCATGGCTTCTCTCGTGTGATGCCTCGGCTTTTTCTTCGAAGAAGCATGCACGGACGCACAATGCACCAGCAAACCAGTTTTCTGGCCTTTGCCAGAAAACCAGCGCATCAAAAGATGGAGAGCACAGGAGTTGGCCATGGAAAAACGGGTGGTTTCGTTCGTCCCAGTGAGTGGATGTTCTGTGTCTTTCCTCATCCTCCATGGAGCGCACCACGTCTCGTCACTCCTGGTATGGAAAGCAGTTGGACATACCCCGAAAAATAGTGGAAACTGACCCAGCTGACTCCACCAGCGCCATGGCGCGGGTGATTCCCTTACAGCAGGCGAGCGCCTGCGTGCGCCCGAAAACGATTGGAAATCCTGGTTTAGGTTGTTCATGGTGATTCGTCTATTTTCCCCATCGGGTTAAATCAGTTACACTCCCGGCGTTTAACATGGGTTTCCAGGGCCGGGGGAGGCAATGGGGCGGAACCTGGAAGCGCGTCGTGGTTGGCTAAGGATTGTACTAAAATCAATGGTAGTAAAATCATGTAAAATCCCCATACCATGGGAAATATGGTTTCCAGGTTCCGGGACAGCTAAATCCGTTGGCCGATGCAGACCCCCCCGAAGAACGCTCGTTCGACGACGGCTGGAAGGAGGCCGACCATGGACTGTAGTAGCGACCCTCGTCGACCAAAGTCTCCTGGTTTCGAACCCAGAGCGACGCTACGAACGGGGCTCCTGGCATCGCTACTAGGAGCAAGGACGCTACTAGTAACCACCTCAAGGCCCGAGAAGAAGAGGAGCGTCCGCGGACCGCTGCGGCCACGGTTGGCGTCGCCGACGTCGACGCACGGTGGGGCATTGGTTGAAGTTCCCAAGAAGCACTGCTCGACGTAGACGGTGAGAAATTCTTGAGAGAGTGGCGCCATGTTGCGCCACTCCTGTGGGGTGGCGTTTCGCAACACTTGCCGTCTTACAACTCACTGGTGGTCATGTTTTGGACGCACAATGTTGATGTGTTTAGAGTCTCAGGTTCAAGATGGTTTAAGCACCTTGTTGATCTTTGGAACAAACGCAGGACATCCTTCTTGTACAGTAATTGTATCGTAACCTATCTATCACTGTCTTTTAAGACCACCGCTTCTCGGGGGGGGCTTCATCCTTCTCCAAAAAATCATAGAACGCCACTCAACAGATCCCCCACCATGGTGGCGTCGCCTGCATCTCCACTGCCATACCTTGCACCTCCAGGTGGACCAGCGCTACGTCTCCCCGGGACGCCCCACCCCGCTGCTGCGCCACGCCACGCCCACCGCGTCGCCCTGGGGCGCGCGCAGCGTCACGCCGACGCAGTCGCCGGTGGTGCGGCGCGCCGCGACGCCGGTGACGACGCCGGGACAGCTGCCGGTCTACGGACAGCTGCCGGTGGCGTGGAGATCATCGATACCAGCACCTTCCAAGGGGTCATCAATAGTACCAGCCCCCATGGTATTGCTAATGGATCTCCAGCTAGGACACCCCTTGCAAGGTGCAGGTATGTGAGTATGTGTTTGTTTGGGTTGGTGGTTGGTGGGGGTGGGAAGGGTGTGGGAAGAATTGAAATACTGAGACTGATATAGTTAGGCTTGGGTATAGTTCGGGTAGTTGGTTGCTTTCCGTTGCTTTCAGTTTAAACCCTGTAGGTGGAAATCCTCTCAAGGCAGAACTTGTTCATGAACTTGGAGTGTACATGGAAGAGAGGAGATCCCATGACACGGGCCAGTGATGGCCAGTGGGTGTTTCAGCCAGAGTTGGGGGTCTCAGCAGGTCAAACGGCACAGAGAGAGCAGGTCATATGGTGCTTGCCAATGTGTGACCATGGGGGCTTACAGTAGGCCCTCCCGCCAAGTCTTTCATTTTTCATCCAGTTCCCTTCTGAGATAGGGTGCATCCTTTTCAAAAAGGCCACAAATCTCACTGGTCTATGGTTCTTTGATTGCTGTAAAGTTGAGTACAATCCCTCCTATCTCCACAGCTGGTGAGCTAGCCTTGGTTCTTTCAGCGAACCCACTTGACAAGGCAGGGTTTCAGATAGCCTACGATAAATTAAACCGGAACATGTGAAAAGAGGTGTTAACTGGATAGTAGGACTTGCCATCGTGCCATCTTGCCGATGTGGCAACACGAAAAGCATCGATTGCTTGGTTTCAGTTCGCACATGTTTCCTTTGTGAGGCTACTTCTTTCCCCTCGGCTGTTGATTCAAAACCCACGAACCCATCCAGAATCAATAACATGATTTCCTGGCGGCACAGCTCTTCACCCAGGGGCTGCAGCAGCACTTCCTTGTCACAGAATCCTGAACCGAGCAAGCAAATGTTCACAAAGAACCACATCTACTCCAAGACAACTTGCTCCGAAAGGGGCTAGTCACAGCACAGACCTGCTCAGCACCTGCCCTCCCCAAAACATCCGCCGCTGGCGAACGTCCCACGCATGGCCCACGCCCGCTCCGCTCCCACCGAGGCCTTCCCCAGCTACACCGCTGCCGTGGGTGTCCCGGCCGCCCCCGTCGCCGGGCTCAGCACTTGGAGCGCGCGGCCGGCGCCCCTGGAGTTGGCGGCCGCTCGGAAGGGGAAAGCGAAGTGAGGGAGTGGGGGGGAAGGGGGTTTGGATGCGGAGAAGGGTCCACCATGGCCAAGAGGGGGTGAAGAAGGTGAACAGTATAGCCCAATCACGATGCCACCTGCGTGACTTGTGTGCCAACATGTGCCAACAGTTTGTGATCCAGTAGAAGTAGACAAAAAACCAATTGGATGGGTGCAGATAGGTGACTGCACTGCTGAGTTCAATCCAAGGTCTATGATGTATTGGGGCTGTCTTATTACCTGTATCAGTCAGTAAACAAGTATCACTGTTCCCCAAACAGTGTGGTCACACTAGGGGTTCTTACGGTAGTGGTTAAGGGCCGGTGTCTGATCCAGGTGTCGCGCCGGCGTGTCCGGATCATTCGCTGCGATTTGCAGTATATTCATGCCTGTCGAAATCCGCACTTCGACTTGCGCAGGGTCGCAGAATCTGGTTGTCCGCGGGTGTTTGTCGCGACTGCGCTCTTGTTGTGGTGCCATGCGCATTTTCGGACATGGTGGTCACTTTTCGTGGCAGGCGCAAGGGAACCTCGTGATTTGGTGGTCCAAAGTCCACTTTTCGTGACAGGTGCAAGGGATCGGAGCGGTGCTATTTCGATATGCAGGTTTCGTGGCAGGCGCAGCACTTGGTCATAGTGGTGATGTTGGATGCGTTCTACTTTCAAGACAGGTGCAGTGAACTGTGACGATTCTACATGTGGCTCGTTTTCAGAAATCGGTGGAAGTCTCGCGCGAAAGCTGCGTTTTAGTATCTGCAATTATGGTACTATCATAGCTATCTTTGGAAGCGTTCTTGCGGCACAGCGCCTTGTCAGGGCTGCCGCACGTGAATCTTGAAGTGCAGACTTCGTGGCAGGCGCAACACTTGATATATCTATATGGTTTATCACAACTCTGGATATCTTCCTTGAACAAGTTATCCAAAATCATACCAACATAATAAAAGTCATAAAGGACATTGTCATACATGATGGGGCTATTGGCCAGATTTCAGACACCCTCAGCATGTTTGCTGCAAGGCACTGCAGCGGCGACAGATGGAATGCACTGTTCAGGCTGGCAGTGTTCCTTCGCTGTTCTCCTCACGGTTCAGACGCGCTGTGGGTCAAGACCGGCAGGAAGGAACAAAACGACCGCTCAATTGGTACCAGCTCAACGAGAAAAAGCTGGCGCAGCTTCGCCGCGAGTCAGAAACTGCATTGAGATCGTCAAACCGTTCCAGCAGAATGAGCCGATGGATCGAGCCGGGAGAAGCGCTTCGGAAGCAATTTTCAGTCCCGCTGAGACAGCCAGATTTGATTGTGAACCTCAACGTGCTGATTTCCTGGCAGGCGCAGCACTTTGTGAACCTCGAAGTGCAGATTTCGCGGCAGGCGCAGCACTTTGTGAACCTCGGAGTGCAGTTTTCGTTCCAGGTGCAGCGCTTTGTGAACCTCGAAGTGCAGATTTCGTGGCAGTCGCAGCACTTTGAACCTCGAAGTGCAGATTTCGTGGCAGGCGCAGCACTTTGTGAACCTCGAAGCGCAGATTTCATGGCAGTCGCAGCACTTTGAACCTCGAAGTACAGATTTCGTGGCAGCCGCAGCACTTTGTGAACCTCGAAGTGCAGATTTCGTGGCAGGCGCAGCAGTCTGTGCGCGTGCTGTCAGACTCTCACTCACACTCACACTCACACACGCTCACGCTCCCACTCACTCTCACTCACACTCACTCTCACTCACACTCACACTCACTCTCACTCACACTCACTCTCTCACTCACTCACTCACTCACTCATTCACTCACTCACACTGACTCACTCACACACTCTCACTCACACTCTCACACTCACTGCCCCACTGTCTCCAGTCTTGTGTGGGTGCTTTGGCCGCATACTCTGGCCGCATGTTTTTTTCATTCGCCTCCCACTTGTCTCCTGCTGTCTCGAGTCCCTTCTGCTTTTGGCCGCGTAATTATTTTTCATTTGTCTCCCACTTGTCTCCCACTGTCTCCAGTCCCGTCTGCTCTGGCCGCCTGATTTTTCATTTGTTTCCCACTGTCTCCAGTCCCTTGTCAGTGCTCTGGCCGCATGATTTTTCATTTGTCTCCCACTTGTGCCCCACTGCTTTGGCCGCATGAGTGCGCTGGTCGCATGATTTTACATTTGTCTCCCACCGTCTCCAGTCCCTTGTGGGTGCTCTGGCCGCATCCCACTAGTTTCCCACTGTCTCCGAAACTCATGCGCGAGATTTCCGGTCTCCGCGCTGCAAGAATCAGCCTCTTGCTTGTGCAGCTAGTTGCCTTAAACACTCCAAGAAGAGCATGACAGAATAACAGAAATATCGAAAGGGAAGAAAATTCCAGGGCGCCGACACAACTTTTGGCGGATTGTGTCTAAAGATTCAGCAATAGGATTGCTTGTGTTGTTCACAAAACCAGACGCCACTGCAATGATTTGGTGCTTGACGCCTACATAGCCAATACTATTCAATACCAAATCACCAAAAAAAAATTGGACGTGGACAAAACAAGCTGTTTGGGGTCAGCGCTGGTATAATGTTCTTTCAACACTCATTGAAAAGCACCCCGGTTTCTCTGGTCCCTTTTTGCTGACATGCCAGACGAGGAGTAGAAAGGAGTGCTTTCCAGGCACAGCAAGTGAAACATGTGTCTTTGCAGTTGGCAAAGGACACGCGCAGGAAACGCAGACGCCCATGGGAATCGCACGGAAAACGCAGCTATTGAAAACGTGATCCAAAAATATGCAAAACGCACACAAAACGCACTGAAAATGCAGCTATCGAAAACGAGCCGGGCGGATCACCTTAGATTTGAGCTGATTGTTAGGAATGTCTTGGGTCGCAACGCTAATCGTGCACCACGGTTAAGCATCTACAATTTTCGTCGTTCGCATTGGTACGTAGACACGGACCGTTCGTTTTGGAGTGACAAGCACTCCATTAAGTTGCAAAACGGAAAAATCCACTGACTGGTGATAAGATAGACCCAAACTATTATTTATTAATATAGACAATCTCTTTTCGGAAGAGCTGTCAGTTGTGGATGTGGACTACATATAGAGGTGCTGCATGTGTGCGTGTTGACTCACAGACAGACAGTGAATTTCGATTATTAGCCATATGTTTGAAGGCGTCCATCATTTCACCTTCAGTTCAACTGGAGATGACGACACGCAGTATTTGCCAGCTCTCATCCACAAAGCCAGCATGACCTGCAGGATAGACCATCGAAGTTTTCATGTGTAATGTGTTGGAGAACCATTCGAATCATGACTGGGTTGTTCTTTGGCATAGCAAACCGCCACGTTTGGAGAACCCTTCGTACGAATCGCTGCTTACGGTCGGACCTCGGTCGAGGTGGGCATCGTGGTGCGAATCGGCGCAGTGCAGTGTGGCTCGGCGGGCTCGACGCGCCGGTTCCATGGGAGGAGCGAAAACAGAAGGAAACCGAAAGAGGTGCATATCAATGACGTCAAAAAGACTTCACAGGTGTGAATTTGGTGAGTGTTTGTTGTTTTTCTTCTTAATTAATATATGATTTTAAAAAGTGGTGTCCTTTTTGATATGTATACTGTCCGTTTCTACGCCGGTGTGTTTTGTTCAGATGCAGTTTTCATGGCCGTTTCTCTCTCTTCCGATGCTATGACGTTCTCCCCGGAGGGCTGGAGAACTCCACCGTTCAAGGCATGATCTCCGAGCCCTTGGGCATGGGTTCCTTTGGCGTGGTCTGGGCGGCCAAGACCTCTGCAGCACCACAGGCGCGGAGTATGGGGCGGTGCGCGGAGTAGCGGAAGTGAGCGCTTTCCTGGGTTCTGTTGCACAAACAGCACGTTGTTTGCCATTGTTTTACAACACTCCACCAAATTGAGGCGGTGGTTCTTTCTTTTTGTGTGAAGTATCCCAAAATTCCCAGCGACTTTCCGCTCAACCCATCCACTCCCACTGCGCCAGGAGGTGGCGGTGAAGGAGATGATTTGCAACAGCGACACCGAGCTCGGCCGAGCGGAGCGGGGTGCGGAGACGAAGCGGGGTCCGCCGGGTCAAGGGCTGGCGGTTTCATCGGTGTATAGGTCCTAAAACCCATTGAAAAGGACTCGGATGAAGGAGTCTGGTGGCTGGAAGCCTGCAGTTTTGCGCATCTTCAGGGTCTTGAAATGTCTTGAACACTGCTTAAGGTAGTTTGCAGACTCGAAGCTCGTGGCTCGCTCGTTCTAGCGGCTTTTGCCCCTCCGCCTGGTCACCGGTCGTGAAGGAGTATGAGATCAAGCTGCTGAAGATGTCCGGGCACAGATATCCCGCAGATAGGATGGGGTTGGGACATGTCAAGCAGGAGTTCTGTGATGTGGCTTCTGTCAGGAAACCGATATATTTGGATTATATATGTACTGGAAGATACACAAATGTGTGCAACCTGATCGTCACGACAGTCACTACATGCTTCATCCTATAGGTGGGATCTTAGATGAACCATGCATTCCGGACATGATGCTTTTAGACTCCGGATGTGAAAAGACCTCGGACCCAAACCCTTCCTTTTGCGATGTGGACATTGTTGGGCACCAGATGGATTCACCAAGTTGTCCAGGGAGACACCCTTCGTTCACTCGCCGTCACCGGGTCCAGCTTTGACGGGTCGTCCGAAGCCGGGGGCTTCGGTCTCTCGAGAGATGGGAACGAAGAGACCCCCGCTATAGGGGGTGTAGGGGGTGTCCTTCGGAATCCTAGACTTCCAAGAACCCCCCCCTCCTGGCCCACCTGAGAAGATGGGACAGGGGTGGGTGCCAGGCGGTCCAACCACCCGAGGATATGGTTGGATCTCCTAGAGGTCAGGAACTTCCGGAAAGACCATTACAAAAATGGGAACGACCCCTGGTCTTTGTCGTGTAAAGTCCTCAGTTGGTTCGGGATGTTCGGGATTCAGCCCGCCTCTTCAATTCATGCTGGGCCCATCCTATTCAGCCGAATTAGGGAAACACATACCTCTCCAGAGGTAGCAGAGGTACTGGGGACCAGCCGAATTAGGGACACCGCAATGGGGCCCATCACGACCAGCCAGCTGAGTTGTGGGCCCATTCGACCAGGGGACACATGCCAACAGAGGTTTTCCCATGACCCGGTCACGTTCGGTCTTCCGGGTCCGGGTCCCGGGAGACCTGGCTACCTCTGTTGGTCGTGACACGGTCCACCCGACCGAGCGACGCCGGATGCCGCCGGACGCCGTGCGAAGGCGACACCGCACTGCCTTGTGTAGAGACCGGGTGCAGTTGTCGACCGGGGTCAAACCAGCCGGTCCAAGCGGTCTGGAAACCGTGTGTTCACATCCGTGAGGGAGTGTTTCAGTGTGTAGAGACCTGGTACAAGTGTGTGCTTTGACCCTTACTTTGGGTTGCAAACCAACTGGCACTGAACTCAACAGGCACTGAAGCGTGATATGCGCTGGATCAACTCTGGGTTTCGGGACAGTCCGGCCGTCGAGCCACCGACTGTCCCGTCCTGTCCTTCCGAAAGAATGAAAGGGATGGAATTGGATAGGTTTGAGAAGGACCATGTGACTCGACACTTGGAGGATCCCGTTTGGGTCAGTTGCGAAATTTCCCACCCGTTGTGTTATCAACGAAAGAAAAGACACTACGGTAGCACCATGTGTTGACCAAGTGGTGTGTTTGTGCCAAAAACCACCAAACCTGCCTGGCAATACCTGGCATGAGGAATTGGGGAAATGCGATTGGCTGCCTCTAGCTTCGGCTTTGAGCATTTTTATGGAGGGCCTCATGAATTGGATGAGATTTGTGGAGCATCAACATGGATTCGATATGATGTGATCCAGAAAGACATGTTTAACCCAGTACTTCATGCCGCCTCTGACCATAGGGATCCACAACCTTTAGATGGACAAAGGAGGGCAGAAGGAATTGTTCTCATATACACTCCATCCATAGATCCAACATGTATCCAACCTCATGTTCTCGCGCTTTCACGCACTGTCCCAACTTGAAGGCCTCCAAAACAGGCATCAAAGCACCACTCACCACTCACCACTCTCGTGTCCTCAAGCTCGGCGGACCATCCAACAACTGTAGCATGTCTTCTAAACAGTTTCTTCTTCCACATCCTTTTGCAGCCCATCCCAGTGTGGCGCTGTCAGTTGCGGCGCCATGGACGCTGCGTCCAGCGTCACCTGCGCGCTGGCGGCGCTCGCGTTGCGGCTGAAGAATGGGCAGCTGACCACCGCCGGTGTCCTGGCGGAAGAAGGCGTCAGGACGTGGGTAATGGGGCGGAAGAAGGGTCGCTGGCAATGGCGGGAGTCATGTTTTGTGATAGACATGATGACATCATTAAGCTATATAGATATATACATGGGTGAGTCATGTTGAATCTATCATTGATTGTCAACCATAATCAAAAACACCAGCAGTTTGTTCATCAATCTCGATGCGGAACTGTTAAGCTTGGTGGAGTGAGTTTTGTTTTGGAATTGGGGCCCTTAAGTTCTGGGAGTAAGTGCCAAATATCCTATTCACCCCCCAATGTCATCAGCCAGCCATGTCCTTCATTCAAGGTTGATGACTGATAGGTGGTCCATTCAACCAGTAGCCAGTAATGATGGAACACCCAATGATTGCTCATTGACAAATTTTTGGGGCACGCGGCACGCGCACAAACTTTAAGCCAGCAGCCCAGCCGTATGGACTAGCAAAACAGCAGCCGGCTGTTTTGCCACGCAAAGAAACACTAGCCCTAGGGCTCCAAGTACCTCCTCAGAAGGTATGACTGGAGCCTCCAAACCCATTTGGATCTTGAACCAGTGCAAGAGCTCTTGCTTCAGCAGTCAACTATAGGAGCGGATGTGAGCCTACCCCCGTTATGTGGGATTTCTTGATAGGTCTTGACTCGATTCGGCCCTGGCTGCCGCTGTCTTCTGAGGCAAGGCCCTCTTGGGCGCTTTGCCCATCCTCTTGATGCAGTGGCGCCAGCGGCTGCAGCGGCAGAAAGCAGCCAGGGGGACGCTCTGATGAGGATGTCCATCACGTCCGGGGCACGACTGATGGTCTAGATGTCTAGCATGTCAGGGCAGGGCAGGGCAGAGACTTGTTGTGTTCTGATGTGTAGTTGTCAGGGGAGGGCCAGGTTGGTGGAAAGATGTTGTGCTCCATGTTGTTTGTGTTCCCTTTCTCATGTCATATAAGCCAACATATTGTTTTCCCACAGGTGGAGGTTTCTCCACCTTAGCCGGCGCTTCTCCGGCGGCGTTCTCGCGCGGTTGTCGCTCGCGCCCAAGGAAACACCCGGGCACTGCCGAGCAGCGGGCCTTGTGCTTCAATCCGGCGATCCAGAAGGAGGACCGGTGAGCTGGCAAGCGTGGCACGAGGCGGGAGCGGAACCTGCATGGCGGTGGTGCTGCGACCGCTCGGAACCAGCTGTTGTTCTTGGAAGAAAGAAAGACCCTGGAATCACTGGACGTGGGGAGCTTCAGAGAAGTACGGAATAGACATATATCCCTAAGGATTCACGACCATCCGAATCGGATGTCCTGCCAGACCCCCCGGCAACGACCAGCACGAACTCACCTCCGTTCGACCATCCTCAGAAGGTACCTGGACCCTATGGGTATATATAATTATACATCCTTGTGGGGATCTTGAGAGTGTTGCAGGAATTCAGGGATGAACTGGTTCAAACTGGTTGATGCTGGAGCCCTTTCAGTTTGAAAGCGCTGCCCTGCTCTTTCAGCGCTGCTGTTTCAGCCGAGTGGGCCCGAAAATTCTGCAATGGGCCAAGGAAAGAGATCTGCAGCAAAAGGGACCTATAGAGACCCATTTGAGGTCCTTCTTTGATAAGACTGTCGCCGACGTAAAATCAGTCATTGTCCCAGACTTCCAGGGAACTGGCCTTATGACTAGATCTGCTTCTGCTCATCTCCACAGACCCCGACCTCCTCGACGTTCTTCGACACGGCCGCGCACGTCGCCGTTCGCCGTTCGTCGGAAAGGACTTTGAGGAGCGTTTCATTGGGACGAAAGAGGCTTTAGAGCGACTCGGAGTGCAGAGATGGGCCGAGCACAGCGGTGGGGCGGCGGGGTGGGGCGGGCGGATTTCACCGAGGAATACCAAGGATTTGGCAGGCCAGGAGCCCCGTTCGTAGCGTCCTTGCTCCTAGTATGAACTTTGTTCGTCAAGGATTTTTCTGAAAAATTGACCGTGGGACATCCATTCTGTTCATCACTGCAACGGTCCTGTGAGCCAATGTGATGGATATGCCCTGGCTGCCTCCAATCTTCAAGCAAGACACCCAGCAAAAAAGACCCCAGCAAATCACAACACCTTTGGAATTTCACCCAGCTCTTCTCGTTCATCCGGTACTTCACCCACCTCTCCGCGAGGTCCGGAAGCTTCGACTACATCGTCGTGGGCTCCGGCAGCGCCGGCTGCCCGCTGGCGGCGCGCCTGGCGAAGGCGGGGGCCTCGGTGCTGCTGGTGGAGGCGGGCGGCGAGGCGCAGCGCAGCATGGAGGTGCAGATGCCCAAGAAGCGCCTTGGAAACCAACGGCGGCTTAACGGTGTGGGAACCGGCAGGAAACCTGTGGGTGTGATGTGTGGTTTTTGTGTGTTTGGGAGTTGGTTGTATGGTTGTTCTTTTTCAAACGGTTACTTTATATTGTTTTTTCTATATATATTATATATTGGCTTTAGTGTTTGGGTTTTAGTGGGGCTTTGTTTTTTTGCTTTTTTTTGCCGGGGCGCGGGTGTTTGTGTGCTTAATTATGTGGTTTGGTGTTATTCTTCTTTAGGGCGAAGGGCGGTAGGGATGGTTGTCAAGGATGTGGACGATGTTTTTAAATGTGTTAAACAATGATAACGATTTATATTGAGAAAGGCCTGCAACCTGATCAGTGTCATCGACCCAAAAGATAAATTTCATTGATGTGACATGTTCATTTGATACCCGTTTGGACAGTTCAAGACACATTCTCAGGTCCTTTCCTTTCCTAGTAGCCGCCTGGCAACATTTCAGGTGTTCCCCGTTGGCGGAGTCTCATCATTTGGGCACAGACTCGGGTTAAAAGAAATGAGCTATGCCAATGGCTATCCATCTAAACCATTCTAACCAACTGCTTCGGCTTCGGCCACGCGGCCACGCCTTTCGCAAAAACGGTGAAGTCTAGTTGAGAGACTCCGCCGCCACACGCCAATGGACCGCCTCCTCTCGTTCTTCGAGTGTCACGACGCTTCGATTCGGCGCCTTCGGTGAGGATGTGGCGGCTGTGGCAGTCGGAGGCG